AAAAAAAAAAAAAAAAAAAAAACAAGAAAAACAACCCACCACCAAAAAAACCCAGACTTATGTAAGCCTTTAAAAATCTGTATGTGCTTATCGGAGAGTTGATAAAAGGGAAGAACCGCATCATTAAAGACTCTATACCCATAAAGTGAACTCAGATATCTTCTTCCCAACACAGCAGCTAAGAAAGCTCATTCTCCTTTGAATCATTGCTAGGCTTTGCATCTGCTGATCTCTGACAACAAACAATTATTTTTTTTTTAAATTATATTCCTCTTCTATCTACCGCTGGAGAAGCAAAACTGGGTTTATCTAAACTGGTTGCCCCTCTCTACTCAAGCCCAGGCAGAGATAGATACTGGAATTAACAATAGTGAGTTTATTTCTTCCATAGGAGGCAGAAAGAGAACAAAAGAGATTTGATGGGAAGTTGGGATACAAGATGAAAACCAGGATTGTCTGGATGAAGAAATCAGATGTTGCTAAGAGAGATGAGGCTTAAGAGTGCTGTGGAGTCTGCACCTGACCTTTTTGCACATCAAATGAAGTAAGGGTCTGGTAGAAATCACTATGTGATCATGTGAATAGGAATTGTATCATCATTTGAAAAAAAAAAAGTGCTATCAAATTCTGTTTGCATATGAGAATTTAGTTGTCATTTCCTCACTTTGTGTACTTGAGTTTGCAACCACAGTGATGTTCTGTTAATGTAGTCTTTGTGTGTAAGGCTGAATATTACCAAAAAAGAATGGAAAAGATGAAGTTTAATGAAGTTTTTGTTGCTTCAGGCTTGTACTGACTGTATTGCTCACAAGTGCCTATATGAACAGGAAGGTTTTTTTCATAGTTTCTTTCTAGTGATGACATTTAGAGAAAAAAAAACCCTAATAGGCACAGATAAGAGTCAGATGCCTAGATGTCTCTTATGCCATTGAAGGTCTCAGAATATTATGACACCCCAAACTGTTTGTATTTGTTGTAGGCTACAGTTAGAATAGGATTCTGCTGTCAGATTTGGGGTTTGATCCCTGAAATACTCATAACAGGTATTCTCCTAATTTTTGAAGAAACTGGGGCACTAATGAATGTCATTTTTTGAAGAATATTTTGACAACATCGGTGTAACAGGGCATGAACAGGAAGACAATCTTATTCACCAGCATACACACATGGTAAAGACTTAGGTGCAAGTGGCACATGCATGACAGATCGAGTGCTAGAAGATACAGCTATCATTGCTTGATTTCCATCCATCTGCCCTGTTACCTCAGTAGATCAATTGTTCTGTATACTAGTGATTACTGTACACACAGTGATTATTTTGATAATCTCTCTTACTACTGTTGAGCAGATTTAGACTCAGAACAAAAAAAGTTGTGGCTTACCCTTCCTGCAGCAGCTTGTAGCAGAATGTCCATATAACTAACTTTAGGTGACAAAATGTCAAATCCAGCAGAGGTGCAAGCAAAGTATACGGTCTTAAGACATTAGAAGACTGATCTGAAAGAGGAATTAGGCCAGCTGAGCTAATATTATGTTACAGTTTTCTAGACTTAGGTTCCTTCTGGTAGGAAAAGAGGTACCCTTTGTGAAATTAATTTACAGTTTCATCTGCTGCAAAGAATAGCCTGAGAAGAAGTACCTGCTTAAAGCCAATTGTCACAAAATGTTGAGGTTGGCCAGAGAGCTTGAGACTTCACAAATATGCCTCAGATATGCAGTGGGGTGGAGTTTCAGCATAGTGTGCATCTCTGATATAACTGGTATTTAACGTGCAACTTCAGAGGCATCCTTTGAAGAAAATTTCAGTAGACCCAGTCTCCAGCCGTCCACGGGGTAGTTGTGCAGTTCCGCACCATCTAGTAAGAAAATGACACTTTCTACCCTAGAATCTTAACATATCTTGGACTGATTAACATCTCTTGAATTACAAGATTGCAGAACAAGGTCAGTAGTCCCATAACTCTCTACATGCCAATTAATTTTGATGCAAACATACATTTTTCTTTTTTGATATATTCTTCTTCCCTTACTTTTGTAAACAAAAGTTTAAAACTCAGGAGAATGTTTGCAGCACCTGGGGCATCAGCCTTTCTCTGGAGACTGAAGATGGTTATCTCAACAGGTTGTGTCAACTTCTTAGCAGGATGCTAACTCTAGGAGTCTGAAAGCAATACGCATGCTTCCATGAGGTATGTTGTCATGGTTTAACCCCAGCTGGCGACTGAGCCCCACACAGGATAGGGGAGAGAATTGGAAGAGTAAAAGGGAGGAAACTCATGGGTTGAGATAAAGACAGTTTAATAGGTAAAGCAAAGCCATGCAGGCAAGCAAAGCAAAACAAGGAATTCATTCACCACTTCCCATCGGCAGGCAGCTGTTCAGCCATCTCCAGGAAAGCAGGGCTCCATCACATGTAACGGATACTTGGGAAGGCAAAACACCGTAACTCTGATAATCTCCTCCTTCTTTCTTCTTCTCCCAGTTTTATACACTGAGCATGATGTCATGTGGTATGGAATATCCCTTTGGTCAGCTGGGGTCAGCTGTTCTGGCTGTGTCCCCTCCCAACTTCTTGTGCACCCCCAGCCTACTCACTGGTGGGGTGAGAAGTGGAAGAGGCCATGATGCTGTGTCAGCACTGCTCAGCAGTAATGAAAACATCTCTGTATTATCAACACTGTTTCCAGCATGAATCCAAACCACTGAAAATTAACTCTATCTCAGCCCAAACCAGCACATATGTATCATTTCACCAGGGACAGAAAGATATAAGCTTATTTTCTAAAATGGGATGAAGTGGGAAGAGTAAATGCAGAAGGACAAGTAGTAAATAGGAATTACCAAGAAATACAGTACTAAAAATGTCCTATCCCTACCAGTTTAAATTCATACCTACTCCTCTCTGAGCAGGAAAGAGAAGGAAGAACTTTCCATCTTCAGCTTTTGAAACTTCATCTGTCTCTGTGTACTGAGCACCAAATCTTCAGCTGGCAAATGTCAGCAGACAGTGCCAAAACCTTACCATATTTCTGAAGGATCTGTTCTTCAACACCAGACTGCCAACTTGAGTGTCAAAATCCCAAACGACTCTCAGCACTACTTGAGGTCAAATAATCACAACAACTGCCTGGAGGCCTTGCATAATGTTGTCAGCCTGACAACAGTAGTAGAGCAAACCATGCTGCAGATGGGTAGAGTTAAATTTCATTCCTTAGCCTCTTCCTGTTGATCTTACCAACTCTGCCTCCAGTACCGCTGCTCAAACCTATTTCTTTCCTGAGACCTAGACATTAGTTCCTGATGAACCATGTCAGCAATACATTGGCTGTTTAAACCTGGGGGACAACGGTGTCAGAGCAAACAAGACACCATAAATAACACTACAGAGCAGACTTGGAGGGGGCGATGAGCAAAGAGTTGCATCATGTACTTACAAAGTTTAAGTGAAATGAATACAACAGTACACCAGGCTGGAATGTAACTGGTGGAAGTGTGGGCACAAATGTTTTTTTGACTGGTTAAGGCTGTTAATGAGAAAAATTACATAGCTTCTAATTGGCATGTGTGTTAACAACTATGCCTCAAACAAATGAAAATTAGGTAGGATTCTGAACATGCTGTATGACATGGACTTGGAGAGGAAATTACAAGTGAATTTTAGCAGTCACTGCAAATAATCTCAAATAGGTTATTTATATTGACTTGCTTTAGTGATGTCAAGCTGCAGGAGCTCAGGAATTTTCCAGAGCTTGTTGCAAGTGCTGTGGCTCAGTGGAGGTCTGAGACTCTGGGACAAGATTGAAGATTCCATCTCTAGCCTCAGTGAGTCATCAAAGGTAATGGGTGCTGAGACCACAACTCTGAAAAAGCTATACAGACATGCTAAGGACTGCCAGCTGCCAGTGTTCCCAGAGAAATCAAGAAGGCTTTTATATGAATATGTTAACCTTTGCAGCAGACCAACTGTGGCAGGTGCATCTGCCCAGTGAGAGCAGAGCTTCTTGGCTGCTGAAGTGTAGCAGCTCCTGGCTGCTTTTGTTCTCAGGGCCTCGCGGTAGTTGTGGCCTTTGGCCAATGGGAGCCGCTATTGACTACAGGTCAGATTTGGCCTGGGTATAAATGGAGTCCCCTGGGATGCCATTTGGAGCTCGTCCCCTGGAGCAGCATGCTGTGGTCAGGACTCTCCCTTTGGGTCAGGACGCTGCCCAAGGAAACTCCTCGAGAGGCCTTGGGTCGGGACACTGTCCTGAGCAGGTCCTCAAGGTTGAGAGCCCTCACTTGTCAGGTGAGTGATAAAACGTTTCAGGTTGCCGTTAAATCCTAGGGAGTGGTGCATTGTTCTGTGTTTTGAGTTGTCGTTAAACCCTATAGAGTTCTTTTTTCTGCGTTTTGGGTTGCCATTGAACCCTAGAAATTTGTTCTGTTCTCCTCTCACAGTCATTCGAACCTCTAATTTACGGAGAGCTATTTAATTGTGTCAGTAATAAATGTTTTATTTTTGGTGGTTAGTTGTTTGTTTGAGAGCCTCCATAACACCAGCTAACTGTGGTCCAGCAGGCTGCTTTATCTATGCCAGGGCCATGGAAAACCAGGTTGGCTGTTGCAACTGCAGCTATCACTACCCAAAGAACAGGCAGGATGTCTGGTGTGATGTCCACTGCGGGGATTCAGAGGCCTCTCCAAGAAGTGCTGTGTTGTGTCCAGCAACATGCTACCTACCCTTTCAGAGCTGCTAGAGGTGGACATTTTCCACATAGTCTGCAGCCTGTCTTCCTCCAGCTCCTTTTCCATAGCAATAGCAGCCCTATCCTAAGTCCCTCTGCTTTGAGGCAGTGTCGCATTCAAGGTAATGAATTAGTTTGGTAAGAGATTAATCCCCTTGCATTCTAGCTGGTCCTCAAAGGTTAGAGGGTTCAGGGGCAGCTGGACTTCTCTCTTCACAGGTATGCCAATTATGGCCGTAACTATAGGCCTGACACCAGATACACGAACAGCCCATATGCTGTAGGTCCAGTTGCATTCAAGAGAAGCAGTCAGGTTCATGAATAGTACGGTTTATTCTGATGCAACATCTACAGATTCTTTGAGATTGCCTACGATAAATGCACAAACTGTAGGCTGGCTCTATAGCACTACACACAAAAAACGATTGCAGTCACACACACTCAATTCCTGAGTAATCACTCGGTGTAGCCACGGGCCCAAATCTTACCAAAAGGCATCCCTTCTGTGGGGGGTGAGGAGCACAAACCTGTCAATCTGTCCCTCTGATTTGGTATTGGACTATTGTCCCTCTGAGTTAGGTACAAACTTGGGGTAGTATTTATCTAAGTATATATGTGTCAGTGGGTGGAACTGTGGCCAAGTCATTGTTTCCTGAGTACCAGCACAGCACATTCCTGAGTGCAAGGTGTGCACTGGTTTTATGGGAAAAGAGGAAGAATGAGAGATAAGGTCCACAGAGTACTGCAAAACAGTCCTTGAGAGAAGGGGAAGAGCAGGACATAAATCTGCTTAGTCATGTCAAATGTTCCTTGAGAAGAGTGGAAGAACAGGACTGTCGCACCTCACTTCGCATTCCTCTTTGGTGCCATGGCAACACAAATCACTGGATCTCCATCCTGTCCTGTGTTTGTTCTGGGCATCATGTGTTAAGGAAATGTGTGGTTTGCCCTTTTTTTTGCTGTTTTGCTTTTCCCACACTTCCAACAGGCAGAAACATTGCATTTTGCGTATGCTGTAAGAAGTCTTGAGCTGGCTCTGCTTTGCAGGACTGGGTCTTGCATGTATGCCAGAAATCCCTTCTGATTTAGTTATAAAAATAGATGTGCCCTGTTCACCTCTTTGATAGGTTTTGTCAAACAAAAAAGGCAGCTTCTGAAGAGGTTTGGAGTGGTGGAAGGTGACCCAATATG